CTCCTGCTATGTCCCCTAAGGTGTTCCGACCCGGTGGGAAGGAAAGGAGGGAATAGGTCAGGTCCGTAGCCATTATTTAAAATTTCAAACATTGTGATTAAACCTCCTGTCTGCCTACGGTATGACAGTGAGAAGAGATTTAAACTGTCTGGTCTTTCCTCGTATGATAAGTTAGTCATGCCGGGAACCATACGTGTTGCCTTCCTTTGAACCCTTTCTAGAACGTGAGTCCCCTTTTAGACAAAGACTGGCGGCCTGGATGAAGTTTTCCAGTCTTGACCTCACCAGAGATGTATATAAGGAGGTGAACGTATCGAGTAAAGGCTCTGCGAATCGCCCATAAGGACTTGAAACTACGTGCAGCCACCGTATGACAGAGATATACGACTTATTCATTGTTAAGATTGTCAGGATCTATCCAGGCAGCCATATATTTCCCAGCAGGAGACTCCGTGAATTAGTCTGTTTTCAACATAATCTTGGTACGGCTATCATCTCATCAAGGAGGATGGTAACCATACTTGCTTGCAACTTTTGTCACTACATAATTAGAACTCTGTTAACTTACTTATCTTTTACATGTGGTACTCCACATCTAACCTGAGTATAGCTAATTCTTGGGTCGCGCCATATATGATGAATGCTGCAAAGACAAGTTTGATAAAAAGAGTGTAGCTTGCAAATGTTTTTCAACTATAACGGTTATAGCAAAAATATTCATTCAGATATCTATAAAACACAACATAATCGAGCAAAGAATATTCTTTTCAATAAATTCCTCTTCAGGCTCTACAATTATATACATGTTTATATACACAGAATATTCAAGGTTGGTAGTTAATAACAAATAATAAAACGAGCATTCCCTGCTGCTGAATTACGTTGTATCTTTAAGACTACTTCTCTTCTGCGTTCGGGAGTAAAAGACAAACTGCCTAATTTCGCCTCATCCATGTGCATCTACCAATTTAATTGCTCCTGTGGAGCCAGTTACATAGGCCGCACAATTAGGCGTGTTTCTCGTCGAATTTCCGAACATCACCCTGCGTGGTTAAGCAAAGGCCAAACAAAATCTATCCGTAGCGCTATTTTGGCTCATCTGATGGATACAGAACATAGGATTGATGTTAATTAAGCTTTCAGAGTTATTTATCGGATACCAACAAATCTCAACTTCGCCTTAAGAGTTCGATTACTAAATATTGCTGAAGCTGTTGGGATCCACATTAAAAAGCCTAATTTGTGCGTCCAAAAGAAGTTAGTTCAGACGCTGTCCCTACCTTGGCCATCTAGGTTTGAATGATTCTCAATTCTCGTGAAAATTTCCTAATTTTAGTTGATATCCTACTTGCTATTATATCTTTATTACTATTATAATTTAAGTATTTTTAGTGAACTGTAATTGCATTGATCTTGCTTTACAAATCGATATTATTTAAAAAACACTAATATTGTTATTAACTACCAACCTTGAATATTCTGTGTATATAAACATGTATATAATTGTAGAGCCTGAAGAGGAATTTATTGAAAAGAATATTCTTTGCTCGATTATGTTGTGTTTTATAACGGTTATGTATAACATTCAAAGAGAAGGTTATAGGATATCTGACCATGACAGGTCACTTATTTCGAGTAGTTTATTTGTATTCAGTGTGTGGTGTCTTTTTTTAAAAGTGACAGCTGTTATAACTTTTTAATTAGGTAAAGGGTTCATTGACGGGTAACTGCTTATTTTTATCAGCTGTCTAATTGATAAATTCAACCACTTTTTCATTCCAGTGAGAGATGTCAGCTTGATTAGTGTGAAACAGTTGGACTTATATGCATCTCCGACTAATGGGTCCATTGGTTTTTAGTTTGAGTCGTGTAAAGAACTTGTAGATGAGGTCTTTAAGATTACCTGTCTGTCTGTCTGGATTCAACATAGAACTTGACATGGAAGTGCAGCAGTTCGAGTTGCCACGTTCCAATAGCACACAAAGGTAGATAAGAAGAAGAGTGAAGAGAATCAATAGAGTTTGATAAGTATAAGAGTGAAAGAGAATGGGTAATGGCAGAAAGGAATATGAAAGATTACAGAGACTGAATACATCTGCGCCACTGACAACGATCACTTTGAGCCATGTGTCACCTATTGTCTCCAGCCATTGATTCCCGAGGACCCCAACCCGGAAGTCTGAATCTCCCTACCTGACTCAATTTAACTGTCAAGGATTTCATGGATTGATGAGGCCATGTTTTTGTTTGGCCACCACTTACTCTTTTCCAACCTGCACCTATGTCAGCTAGTAATGCCCGTCGTCGGGGGAGGCTATGGTTAAGCATGCGCAGCACGTCACCTAGCCATCTCAATCTATGTAACTTTATAGCCTCGTCGATTGATTTTCCCTGTTTGCCCAACACTCTACGCCTAACGTCAACATTACTTACCTTATTAAACCACCTAACGTGAGACAGAGATCGCAGACATCTATGATCGAAAGCAGTCAACCTTTTCATATCTTCAACCAATTGTCTAATTCAAATGATCTTAAACTGAAACCCTCTAAATATCAGACTGCTAATTTTAGTTTCAGGTGTGAACAAGACTGACATAGTCTGATTTAGTCCTATAATTCGTGTTGTATCGGTGTTACTGTCGTAGGAAATATATCGAATATTGCCTAAGTGGATAAGAGTCTCTCATCTAATCTCTGTTGGTTGTCTCATATCCTGTTAATTATTTAAGAAAGTCTTTCATTTGACTTATTGTAACAGTTAAAGACAATAGACTTGGTAACAGAATGTTTACTTGGAATATTTTATACACATATAGAGAAATTATGTGCACGTCAGAAACCCGCCATTTGCACAGACCTTCTTTGTTGTACTAATTCTGCCATACGTTTTGTGTTTCTTCGTCCTCTTTCTGTGTTTCCCATGTTTTGTTGCAATATTGGTCCATTTGCTCTCTTTGATGTCACACTATCCTCTATTTGATATTTTTTGTGCTAATAAACGACTCTAGATACTACTGGTAAATCTTGTTAAAACTTTCCGCTATAGCTTACAACTTACTAATTCATCTGTTCCACCCACTCTTCATTTATTGTCCACCTTTGTTCTTCTTTGGGCTTCCCGAAGAGTACTACGTCATATAACATGGGACTCTGAAGGCTGTAAGCAGAGTTAGTCGTATTCCGTTGATCCAACTGACTGACACTGATATTGATAGGCATTTTCATTCGGATGTTGAACACTCCTCTTTATTTTCAACTTTTTCCTTGTATCTCTTCGGATAAAGCTCTTACGACTGAATATAAAAATTCAGCCATACCGTGTTTGGTACGGGTGTTATGTGGATAGGCATGTCATAATCTGTAAATAAACGGTAACTTACTACCAGCACTATTATTACACGTATTATTTCTATTAAATTCCGTCTTTTCAGTCTTATTGTTTTTTCCGTGGCATTACATTTATTTACTTGTGAAAGATGACAAACTGTTGCAATATGTAGTGCTGCAAATACCCTTCTGTATAAATAATTAATATTGTTTGGAATAAAGTGAGTACTTATAGGATTTCATAGTGAGCTGAAGCCGGTTAGAGAAGCATTGGAAATGCTCGCTAATGAAATTGGCTAGTAGTCGCGCTCTACCGTGAATTTTCAGAAGTTAGAATTTATTGACTGGCCACTGGATCAGGTCCCAGTGGCATAATGGTCTACGAGCTCGACTTGTTTCCGGAAGGCCATAGGTTCGTCCCTGGTCGTGGGTGTGCACTGCAGAAGAGTCCCCCTACCGATAGCTGCTACCTTAACGTGGTGGTCGGGCTTGCACATCGCGATGACCCAACAAGCTACACTGGTTGGAACATATGTTCCTGCAGGTCTTACCATGCCAAGAAGGTTTTTAGAATAGCGATTAGACTAAAAGCAGTTACTGGCATTGTGTAAGAATCTTTCTTACACTATGCTGGGGTCTGAGGGCGAAGTCGTACTGCTGGGGGATAGGGGTGTAACAACATTGAGGTGTTTCCCTCAGATGACCAGCATGCCAGCTGTGCTGTCTCTCCACTCCGGAGAGAGGGGGTTAGAAAAGGTCGACCCCAGAAATTGTTTATCCCGTCTTACCCTACGGTGGTCCGTAACTGGCGGTAAGTTTACTAATACGGAACCAATCCCTGAAACCAATTCATACAGGCCGTGTGTGACTGGCCTGGAGCAGTTGTCCCCTGGGCTCTGCGGTCACACAACACTAACCTTCTGTTTCAGGTACCCGAAGAATCAATCAACCGGGAAGTGACAACCGCCCACACACTTTCGAAAGCACACGAAGCCCTTCTGAGCATCATTGTCCTTTACTCACATCACCTTCCCCATCTTGCTTCTCTACTACAGTTAGTACTATTCTTCAGGTTAGTGAGGCATCTTCACTTCACTCTGTGACCACAAACAACGGTGAGAGCCATAGAAACACCCTTATGACTTATGATTTCGAGTGAAACTATATTGTTCCTACTATTCCTTTGTCTCACACCCCTGTTTACTGTCTCTATTATACATTTCTACTTTCTTCTCTTGCTTTGCGTGCTACATGGAGTGTGGCAACTTGAACTGCCGCACTTCTGTGCAAAGTTCTATGTCGAAAACAGACAGACAAACAGCAGAAGAATCCGAAGCTAGGCTGACAAAACAGCTGTCTAGTACTCTCAGGTATTCCAATGGTTCTCTCATGATAAAATCCTGTAATCAGTTGAAAGCCTGTGAGCCAATATTTGAGAGTGATTATTACTATTATGCTTGGTTATGAGCTTCACCTGTTGTGTAAGATTTGGTAATACCAACAGCCTACTCAAACTTCGTTTAATAAAGCAAGGCGCGAACCCGGTGAACTATAACTCTTCACTTCGTTTTATACCCTTGTGATAAAATGTAATATATTAAATGGATATACACATTTATACTATCTTTCTAGTTTTAGATTAGTGGCTGCATTTTTAAAAAAGATTCTAAAATGGATCCTGAAAAATTTTTAAATCTTCAAATGCAAATGCGTGAAAATAATATGGAAGTTGCAGATTTTCTAAATGATTTCACTAACTGGAAAGAGACTGTAGAATTAAAAAGTAAACGTTTAGAAAATTCAGCAAAACCAGAAATACCAGCCATTCGTAATAGTCTATTGAAAAAGAATAAAAAGGTATAGTTAACATTAAATTTATTATTTCCAGATATTAGTTTGTAAAGATCTAATTGGCTTCAAATTTGATCACGAATTGATATCAATTAAGGGAAGCATTGAAAACAAGGGGATAGGTGTTTCGTTCTATCTTGGGACTCTTCACACGTCACTGAGTTCCGCTCCAATGGTCGACTGAATGACCAATGAGTCCGTAACCTAAAGCTCCTGAGTTTGATCTTTGGTGAAGTCATGGGTACGTACCACTGAAACGATGCCAAACTAGGACGAAACAACCGTGATAGTTTTCAATGCTTCTCTAACTGTTATCAATCCATGATCATTGTTGAAATTTATTATTCACTATACTTTCCTTTTTGTTTTCCGTTTATATTTTTAGAAACCAGTTAAACAAAAGATATCCGATAAAAAAGTTGAACGTATTAAAGCGTATGATTATCAAGCCTGGGATAAATTTGATGTAGACAAAGCGTTAGCTGAGGATACCGATGATGGTGATAATGATAATGATAATAATAATTGTACTATGGATAAAACTGTCGGTTCGCCTGATCATCCAACTCGTAATAGTAGTAGTGAAACAGATGAAGAACAAGAAGATCAAAGAAGGCTACAATTATCTAAAGATGCTCGAGAATTAGGAAACGTTCGATTTAAAGTAAGCTAAATTATTATTCCTCTTTGTTTTTGTAGATCTGAGCGTTTTGTTCAATCCTTTTCATCTACTATTGCCGTAAATTTAGGATTTATTATTTGAAGAGTTAAAGTGTCTGAGACAACACAAAAAGTAAAGGCACCTGCGGCATTGATTCTTAGAGTCTTGGGGTATGCCAGCCAGGCAGTGGATACCTCTCAAATTGTCTGAGACCAGCGATCAAGAAGGTCATGGATTGATGTTGACCTAAAATATGCGAATAATATAGTCCTTCTAGATGAACATGCTGACAAAATTCAGTCTTCTGAAAACTTTGAGCAGCAATTTTCGAATGTTTGGTATGCGATTCCTCATTGTCATCTATAAGATGATGCTACAGGACGTGACTACATAGACTCTTGGCTTAAAAAGGTGGCAGGAACGAAGTGGAAGAGCGTGTTGACCACTTCACGTATTTTGGAAGTTGCATCAGCCCCAGTGGGTTGATGGCTGACGAAATATCAGAACGGATACAGAAGGCTCGTTTGGCATATGCCAACTTACGCATTCTCTGTCGTAATCGTGATATCCGTGGAATTAGAGTGGCATGTAAACTAGGACCCGACAAATCAGATTAAGAAAAGCAAATTAAGACAGTTCACCTCTCTGGTATAAATTCTCTGTAATGTAGTAGGTATATCTTACTTGTGAAGCTTTATGCTACTATTCGGTTGCCTACCTCAAAAATAGATAACTCTCTTATCTATTGTCTAATCACCTGATGTAAATAACTAGGGGATAGGGTGTCTGTCTGTCTGTTTCGACATAGAACTTTGCACCGATGTGCGGCAGTTCAAGTCACCACACTCCCTCCATGTACTACACAAAGCAACAGAAGAAAGTAGAAGAAATGGATACTAGAGACAGTAAACAGGGGAGTGAGACAAAGGAATGGTAATAACGAAGAACAATATAGTTTCATTGGATAACATAAGTCACAAGGAGTGGATGCATCTACGCCAGCCATTGAGAACGATTTTGAGCCATGTCACCAATTGTTTCCAACCATTGGTTTTTAGCGTCACGGGGACCCTAACCCGGAAGTCTACACCTTCCTACGTGGCTTATACTAACTGTTGTAGATTTCATTGACTGGTGCCACGTTTTTGTTTGACCGCCAGTAGATCTTTTCCAGCCTGATCCTATATCAGCTAACATAGCCTGTTATCGAGGAAGGCGATGACTAGGCATACTGAACACATGTCCTAACCATCTTAGTCGATGTAACTTCACACTTTCGTCGATTAATTTCCCCTGTTTACCTAGCACTCGACTGGTGCCTAACCTCAATATTCCTCACCTTATTACACCACCTCACACGGGAGATAGGGCGCAGGCACCTATGATCAAAGACAGCTAATCTTTTCATGTCTTCCACTCTCAATGGCCAGGTCTCACAACTGGCCATAAATGAGGACAGAGCGGACTCCTGAGCAGTACACCCACCCTTATGTCGATAGTCGGATATCACGTCTACGCCAGAGATGGCATAAACTGGCATATGCGAAGGAATGGGGTGGGGGAATTACAGGTATTGGAAGTGAGAACTGTCTAAAGTCAAGTCTATGTAGATAACATCTTCAAGGTGCAGTTAGCTAGCTGGACAGTGGGACTTCTTTCTCTTTTGTTTCGAATTATCTCTCCATAGAATAACTCCCTGTTGTTGTTATTGCTGTTGCCGACATAAAATTCTTTATCTTCTGTTTTTCTCCTCCATAATAACAAACAAACTTATCAATAAACCCATCTAGGAAGGTCGATTGGATGAAGCTATTGAACAGTATACAATGGCTATACGACTTGCACCAGAAGATCCTACAGCGTATACAAATCGTGCATTCGCCTATATTAAAACAGAAAGATATGCTTCAGCTGAAGCTGATTGTATTGCTGCTTTAAAGCTGGATCAAAAATCGATTAAAGCATTATTTCGGTAAGTAGTAGTAGTAGTTCCTTTTTTTTTTAGTTCATTTTGTTTTTCTGCATTCCTTTAGCATCGTTTGTGATATGAGTGTGAATAAGGATACTGTTGTTTTTGTATTGATTCAATAATTTCACTAAAATCTGATACAGACCGGTTGGTACGATTGGTACTCATAATATTCATCTTGATGTAGTTGTGTTCTTTGAGCTGGGTGGATGGTTTATAGTTGCGAAGCTTTTATTGCCCCCCTACTAGGCAACATCTTCAGCGTATACTTCAATTTGATGAAGTGAGCTTTTAGATTTCTCCAAGAGTTTATTAGTTATCTACCCTTATGACCCTGAAAGTAATTGGTTATTTTTGTATGTTTTCACACCCTCTAGACTATTTGTATTGGCACTGATTGTTTCCTTGACTTGAAGTCTGACCTGGTTGTATGTGAGATTAACTTCTTACGATTGGTAAATTTTGTCTATGTCAATATGTCTGTTGATTGACGATTCACTGGAGTACCAGGCTTCGTGGAGAAATCTATAAGCTCACTTCAACAAATTGAAGTATGGGCGCTGAAGATGTTGCCTAGTTGAGCAATGAAAGCTTCGCGAAAAGATCATCCAGCTTAGAGAACACAACACACACATCAAAATCATCCATCTGAGCTACAAATCTTCTCCATCATAACTCATAGTATTACTTATGACCAGGGTTCGATACGATAAGGCAGCAATTAACTTGTCTGATGACTGAATGCCCAAAATTAATTTCGAATCACTTCTGATTCCCCCTCCCACTCACAGCAAATGTAAATAAAGATAAAAGACCGATTGGTTTTAGTCGGTGAAAAAAGACCACCTTTATCATACAAAAACACATGATATATACAAATATTACCAACCTCGGAAAGTTGAGCTAATCATCAAATGACTAATTTAATTGGTTGTCCAAGTGTTGGTTTGTAGGGATTGGATTGGCTACAGGATTCCATCATGAGCTGACATTAGTTAGAGAACCATTGGAAAACCTGGGAGTACTGGACAGCTGTTTCTTCCTAGTTTGGGACTCTTCATCAGTACGCACCCACCGCCATGGTTCGAACCCATGACCTTCTGGTTACAAGGCGAGCTCGTAGGCCATTAAGCCACTGGGAGCCGATCCAATGGTCCATGAATTCCAACTTTTGCCAATTCACGACATAGCGCGACTCTTAGCCAATGTCTTCGGCGAGTATTTGTCCTCACACCCAACTTGCTGCACCCTACTGGTCACGACTTCTCACTAGAATCCCAGGTATTGTATTAATTTCAGGCATATATACATCTCTCAATCGCATCGTAGTCAATATTCTGTCTCGGACCGATAGTTTAAATTTGTCCAAATTGGTTTTAGCCTGTTTTAGCTGGTTTTAAGATTAAGAAAAATCGGAAGTGTATAAGAATCTAATAAATTTAATTTACATGATTACATGACGTGTATGTTGTAGACTTATGTAGTATTTACAAGTGTTGCTTTAAGGAGATTTGATTGATTTGAATCCATGTAACCGGAATGACTTCAGCTAGAGAAAGACTGAAAACCAGTGGATAGTATTGAATAACTGTTTCGTCCTATTTTATAACTCTTCAGCAACACATCTCTATGGCGACCTCGTCGTGAACCGTGTATCGTCAGAAGTTGGCATTCGTGTGTCCCTTATTTCTCTCTGGTAACTTGAACGTCCCGAGTTCGCCACTCAAGCAACTGATCATGGGTGCATAGTGCTGAAGAATCCCAAACTAGGACGAAACAACTATCCAGAACTATGCGGTTTTCAATGGTTATCTAACTGATGCCAGCTCTTGAGCTAAGTTGATGTTGGCATTTATTTGAATAAAAAAATTCGGTCGTGGCATAGGCAACAAGGAATATGCTACTCAAACTGATACATGAGTATTATATAAATGATAAAGAATAATAATAAAGCCATTAGATGGGAATTCGTGTGTGAAGATTTGACTTTTTGGTGTAAGTACTGAATTTTCAGCCAATACGCTTTGAGTTTTTATCGTCACTTCAGCTGCTTCAGCCTAGGTAATGTCACTAGAGCTAACACACAGGGAAGGTTGAGCGTGGCTGTGGGTCAATTAAACTGCTCCTCATAATGCTCTTTCCAGCGATCAAGTCGTCTATCCTGGGAGCTAATTATAGTGCCATTTTTTCCCGAGATTGTTTCACTAATGATTTGTCTTCTCCCACCCGTTTCCCTGATGAGTCTAAATAGTTGACTGGTGTTGCCTATCCTCGAAGCTTTCTCCATCTCTTTCGCCTTTGTCACCCACCACTGTTCACAGTCCTTGCGGAGACTTTTCGTAAGTTTCCTTTTGTGCAGCTTTCGCCCCTCATTGAATTCGGAGCTCGCCGGAATAAGTCTTCTAGCATCTATCAGTTCGGATGAGGCGGTGGAGATCCAGTGGTTTTTACTCACCTTTGGGTTTACCTTATCCACAGCTTTTACAGCTGTATCTATGGCTGCCTGGATATTCTTCCAAGCTTCTTCAGGGCGAGCACAGCTGTCGAACACAGATATGTGTTTAGCTAGTTCTTCCTGAAATACGGATTTAGTTTCCTGATCGAGCTGGGGACGTGATGGTTTTACCGCCAGCTGTTTCCTACGTCCGTTCAGTCGTAAGCATACCCGAGCGCGGACCAGTGCGTGGTCGGTATCTACACACAGAAGCGACAATCTCCTACCGACTCACGCCAACGATAGCTTATTGCTATGTGGTCTATTTGTGTCCAGTGTTGGTTTGATGAAGGGGGTCTCCAAGTCAAACAGTGTCTCTCCTTGTGTTTGAAGTTAGTGCTTACAAGAAACAAATGATTATCAGGACAGAACTGTAGGAGACGGTCACCGTTGTCGGTTCGCTGGCACGGAGCTCCATAGGTGCCACCGACATCCTTCTCAGATTGACACAATTTCCCTACTTGAGCGTTAAAGTCACCAGCTAGAACGACTATGTCTGAGCGTTTAGCCTTTCGCACCAAACTAGACAGCTTTTGGTAGAACTCATCCTTCGTTTCATCTGAACTGCAGTCAGTGGGGGCGTAGGCGGAGATTACGAAAAGGCATCGGCGAGTAGTGCAGTCCTTCCTCCTTCTTACTGATCCGTTCAGGCGGACAGCACACATTCGGCTATCTACTGGGATCCAGTCAAGCAATGTCTTTTCTGCCCTAGTACTCAAAGCTATCCCTACACGGAGTGTGGTGACTTGAACTGCCGCACATTTGTGCAAAGTTCTATGTCGAAAACAGACAGACAGACAGACACACAGGGAATGTGGAACATAGCTTTGATACATGCGAAATCTGTACCAGATAACCATGCGCTAACCAAATTCTGAAACATTTTGAGAATAAATGTAATGGACAACTTTGAGCTAGATGCATTCATCACTTTGATGATAGTAAAGATGAAAACACTCAGTGTTAAGTGCTAAACACCTGTTGACTACTGGTTTTTGAAGGATTTTATACCTCTTCACTAGTGTAAAGGAGAAAGAAGAGGAGAATTTGTATTCAAGTGTTGGTTCGTGGGGATTTGATTGATTGGTTTACAGGATTTCATCACATGAGCTGACATTAGTTAGAGAACCATTGGAAAATCATCATTGGAGTACTGGATAGCTGTTTCGTCACACTAGTTTGGAACTCTTCAGCAGTACGTTGGTTGGGGCAGGGTAAAACTATTTTTAAAAGTAATAATGCTCTACGAGCTCGCCTTTTAACCAGAAGGTCCTGGGTTCGAACCATGGCGGAGGGTGCGTACTGCTAAAGAGTCCCAAACTAGAAAAATTCGTGTTTCCCAGACTATATATTAACTTATAGAATAATAATTTTTAAGTGGAATAATTTAGACATAAAGTTTTTCTATCATGGTATTATTGAGTATAAGTTAATGGTAGTATGCACCAACCAACAACAACAGCAGCAGCATCCAGCGTCAATCACCATCAACGGAAGGGATTTGAAAGAGGTCACTTCATTCATCCATCTAGGGAGCATTGTCTCAACTACAGGAGGAGGAACGAACGAGGATGTCAAATCAAGCGAGAATCGGGAAGGCGAGAAACACATTCATCAACCTGAAATCAATCTGGAAATCTTCTCACTCAGCCAGCATCAACAACAAAATTCAGTCGGATTTTTAATACAAACAACGTAAAGTCAGTCAGTTCTTCTATACGGATCAAAACCTTGGCGGGCGAGCGGGTCACAAAGAATATTTCCAACAGCCTGTTGCAGACCTTTATCAACAACTAACTGTCTTCGCTGGATCTATTCTGAAGATCAGATGGCCGGTCCGGGCAGGAAAGAATCACCAACAAGAAACTGTGGGAACAAGCAAACGGAACAAGAAACAATCACCAACCAACAAATATGCAGGAGAAAGTGGAGATGGATCGGACACTCGCTGAAAAGACCACTGGGTTACATCGCGCGTCAAGCCAGGCCGAAAGGGAAGCGGCGAGTGGGACGTCAGTGCAAGGGTGACATGGAGGAGATCGTGTGAAGAGGAGGATTTGAAACAGTATGAACTAACATGGATGCAGGTGAAAAGTACAGCAAAAGACAGAAGCAAGCGGAGACGTGCAGTTGAAGCCCTATGTTCCACTAGGAACCCAAGGGAGCAATAAATAATAATATAGTATGCATGTTTCCTTGCCAATTAGAACCCGCCTCATCTAATGTTGTAATCAAATACGTCACCAAGGTGCTGTTTTCGCAGCTCGGCCTAAGAACAACTGTAACGATGTTGGGTCGGGAAGAGAGTAATACTGAGGAAGTATGCCTCACTAAGCATAAGAGTTTACTTGAACTGATACAGCCAACTTTGTAGGAGCTTGTGGATAGTTTTCATCTTAAGTTCTTAAGGTAACACCACCAGTGATGCCCATCAGGGATTTGTCCAATATTTCCGTTTATATTTGATGGATGTGACTTTGGTTGTCTTCAGCGATTCAAGTATTCACTTGTTACTAAAGAATAAGCTTGTTGATCGGATTCAGTTAATTCCTAGTCGGGAAGGACTTACTTTTGTGACCCACGTCGGCTAGTGAATAACACTTCATGCATGTGACACTGGTTCGATTCCTCCGGGCTGATGCACTCCTAGACCTTGTTAAACTGTGGTAGTAAGCCCGGTAAAGAAGCAGGGAAGGTTATAGGCATAAGACTAGCAGCAATAACCCGTAAAATCTCTACTGAAACTTCAAAGCTTCAGTTCAGAAGTCAAAGGCGGAAAACGGATAAAGAACTTCATCGGAAGGAGAACAGTCATACTTAACAAGTTCAAACAGTATTCGTCAATTATCATCGGGAAAAGAAGAAAGAAGGAAATTGCAACACTTTCGCCATTGATGACTGCGATTCTTGGCCATATCCTATAACGTTTCGAGCCATCGATTCGAGCTACCTCTCGGACTCCGACCACGGTGTCGTGACGCACCAACAGATGCTAACTTAGCACAAGTATCCTTCATCCCACGACGCCACGTCATGGACTGACCACCCCTCTGCCTTTTCCATCCCGTCGCAGGGCTAGCGAACAGAGACGGGCACGGAAGCCTCTGGGATGATGTGATCTCAGAGTCAAAGAAATGATAAGAAAACGTTTTGATAAACTGTGGTAATTTAAAGTGATCCACTTCTGTGTCATATTATTCGTTGAAAATTCAGTTCAGTTGAAAATCACACTTTCCGTTTAATTTACATTTAGGCAGTGCAGTCTTTAGATAGGTAAGTCCCATAGATATAACGTATATTTTTGTAACCGGAAGTTCATGGGTTCGAACCCTAGCGGTGTGTGTATATCGCTAAAGAGTCCCGAACTAGATTGACGAAACAGCTGTCCTGTACTCTGGTTTTCCAATGGTTCTCCAACCTATGACAGCTCATAATGAAATCCTGTCACTAATGAAATCTAATGTATCACACACACACATGATTAATTTTTATATTCTTGTTTATTTTGAATTGATTTGTATTTTAGGAGAGCACTTGCTCGTAAAGGTTTAGGTCATATCACTGAAGCAATTGAAGATTTAAAAGAATTATTAAAACTGAATCCAGATAATAAATCTGCTTTAAGTGAGCTTAATTCACTAACTTATACAACAAAAGGGAATACATCCGTACCGTCTACACCATCTAGTCTAATTCAAAGCGGTAATAATAAACAAAGAAAAATGCGGAAAATCTCTATTATTGAAGTTGGTGGCAATGTCGGGTCGTCATCATCACATTCATCCCAGAAAACTACCCACACTGATAGTACTCCTCAGGTACTTCTTAAAACCTGTTCATCAAGTATAAAAGAAGTTGTCAATGGGACAGAAAGCTTATGTCATCCAACTGTCAAAATGACTAATTCATCATCAGAAGCATTGAAGTTCCCCTCTTCAACTGATAAGTCAATTCCATCAGAGTCCGTAAAAAAATCATTCAGTCAACCTGTGGTAAATTCAACCGGTGATCATAATAATCCCCTAGAAATACCACCTTCATCAAAAAGTATTAATATGACTAAACCACCATCGAATTGGTTCCAATTAGAACGTGAAATACGCGAATTATGTCGAAGTGGTAGTTCTTCAATGAGTTATTCTAAAAAATTGCATTTAACCAAAGAAGCAATAATTTATTTGTGTAATATTCAGCCGACAAATTATCAAGCTTTATTCGGTGAAAATATGGATAGTGATTTTTTATCACGTATGCTTCATGCATTTTATCAATGTGTTGTAGAAGGCGATGGTGATCAGTCGTCGTCGGCGTCGACGTCATCGTTGTTGTTGACAAATCATGAGATTACAGATCGTCTTTTAACTTTAACCAAACTGTCAAGATTTGATGTTGCCTGGTTAATGACAGATGATGTAGAACGTGTACATGCTGTAAAACTTATAAAACATTTACAAAATGATCATTCAATAAGTAAAGATATTATTAAACAGATATGTGTACAGTTTGAATGTGATGATTAGATTTCTTTTATTTGAAATTATTACAAAAATAAGTATCTTAAACAACAACAAAAGAAGTGGTGTTTGTTTGTTAATTGCTATTACAAATATTGAAACATTGATCAATTCGCGCTAAAAATAAACAGATTTGCATGTACTATTCTATTGTAGATAAATTGAACTGCAAATCAAATGATACATGTTTCGTGCTTTGACTTTTCGGTGTGTTAGGTTAGTGTAAATGTATCGGGATGTTGTAGGATTATTCTGAATTAACTCTCGGACTAAGGAATAGAAAGTGAAATGGTTAAGCATGTATTTAATTCCTAGAGGAACATAGGGCTTCAGCTGCACATCTCCATTGCCTTCTGTTTTCTGCCAACTTTTTCACCCCGCTTCAAGTCTGCCCACATGCTTTCATCTCCTGTTCACATGACCTCCTCCAAGTCACCCTTGCACTGACGACCAACTCTCCGATTCTCGTTATGGTTCCACTCGAGGGCATGTCTAGTGATGTCACTTGATGGTTTCCTCAGAGTATACCCAATCCACCTCCATTTCTTCCTGCCTATTTGTTGCACAATCGGTTCCTGGTTGGTTTGCTCCCAGAGATCTCTATTGCTGATGAATTCATTGAGAGTATACGAAAGGGTGATCATCTTTTTGGTACAGGTTTAATGTTTAACTGTTCATCAGAGGGCATGTGTACCTCGTTGCAATTTACCACATCCTCGTTTCCGATTGTGACATATAGTCATTGAAAGCTGGAGATACAATTAGTATTACTAGTGTTCCTTTGGCTTCCGAGTGAAAAATAGAGCTTCAGTAGGGTGTTTGCACTTTGTCCTGTTCTCCACGGTCCTCTTTAGCTGGTCGCACGATTGCCCATAGTCTCTCATCTCCTCCCCATACGATCTTTTCAATGTCACTCTCAGAAACAGGTCTAAAACGTCTTCCCCAATTCGAGTTCCACTCGAATGACGGCCTGCGTTGCGCGCGGTGTCTTTCGATGGTCTCCTTAGTGTATGCCCAATCCATCTCCATTTTCTTCTAAATATTTGTGAACGATAGGTTCTTGGTTAGCTTAATCCTAGAGTCTCTTCTTGCTAATTCTTCCTGGCTGGCCATCTGGTCTTCAATATGAAGCCAGCGATGGGTAGGGGTAACTGTTGATAAGCGTCTGCATTAGCCAACTGGAAATGCTTTCCGTGACGTACCCGCCAACTTTCTGAACCATATAAGAACTGTCTGACATAACATTTATGTTGAAAATCCGATTTTTTTTTATCTATGCTGCGTGCTGAAGATTTCCGAAATGATTTCGGAGTGACGAAGACGTATCTCGCCTTATGGTTCCGGCTGTGGTTGAAACCGTGCCTCCTAGATAAGTGAAGGCGGTAATCTCTTTGTCGGTTGGTTATTTTCATTACCTCCGTCTTTTTTATATTCACCTGGAGTCCTGTATTCGCTGGCTGCCTCTTCAACCAGCTTGTTGGTTTTTACTTGTAAGTCTTCGAGTTTGTATGACACCAAGTATAAATCATCCATCCACTCGTGGAATCCAGATCTTCTAGAGTTTTCTTATCGGTCCAACGTATTCTTGTCTTCTAACTCTCTGTGCACAATCGGATGCATAATCCAGTCCATCACAATTAAGAACATCATCGGTGCTAATAGCCGGGCAGCCTTATCTTACTCCTGTATCCGCTTCAAACGCCTTGCTGAGTTTTCCATTGTCATATAGTCGTTGAATGAGGTTGATAAAGATTTGGGTCATTGCATGTCATAAAAATGAAGTAGTAGGAGACACATAACGGTTAGCCATTCTCTGCTTCCAAATTTTTCGTGTAAGTCGGTCAGTAACAAATTGGGTTAGGTAAAGCGGGAAAATCAATGGATAAGGTTATGAAGCTTCATCATTTTGGATAGCTAAGATATATATGTTATTCATACCGATATACTCTTTCCCAAACAAATAATGTTAACTGGCATGGAATTATTTTTGGAAAAGACAGCGCCAATGCAAGAAGCCTTAACTGTCGGTATTGAGCCGCATAAGCTCCTATTGAATGTGTGTTTGAGATTGTTAGTGACATGCTTCAAAATCGTTCTCAATAGGATAGATGGGTTGGTTCATTTTAGACTTGTAGATACTAGAAGCTCTTAGTATGCTTCATGTGATTACTCTTAATCCTGAACATTTTTGTTTAGCGTATAGTTCCTTTGCATTTTTCCACCTACACCTGCTCCAGAGTATGACAATTTGAACTGCTGCACGTTTATGCAGAGTTCTACGTTGATAATTCTCATGGTATATGGACATACATTGGTGGTTAGCTAAAAAACTTTGTTAATTCTAAATGAAATTCTTATTATGATATGAACGACAAATATGTTGCTGGCAGCGACACCCAAATTTGATATGTATTCATATCATGGTCACTAATAATTGTGCTGCGATTATGTTTCGAGACAGGAAGGCAATAAGTAAGTAACTCTCCTGGGTACCGAACACTAAATACTGATTTCCAGTCATTTCTGAGACCTACACAAATAAGTATAGAAGACAAGCTAGTCTGCACCGGTGACAACAATCGAATTTAGTGATCATCAAAACTATTGTCAATGGAGTTGAAGATTGAACGATCAATTCTTGGTTGTTTGCTCAAAATCAACTTCCTCAATTTTCGCGGAGGCATCAATACGACAGTCATCGTCTCATCGGTCGCTGTTCAGAAAGAAGAGTAAAACATCGTCAGAAGTAATATTATGATTTATTATTGTAATATTTGTTCACAGATCTTAGTCATACTTGATTTATATGTTGGTGTAACAATACAGAATACTCAAGTCAACAATTGGTGTTTTGGTTTTTTCGTCCGTTATTACTAAGCGTTTCTGAGAAACTTCAAGCGACAGCGTGAGCCCGAGCGTAGCAAGAGCTGGGCATTAACGGTTTACGAGACGTGACTGACAACTATATTTCAAATAGATCAGTGAAACACTGTTCAGAAATTTCGATCAATCCATGAAACATTTTCACCATATATGCATTTCTAAACATGAAAGCCGCCTTTTGTTATTGGAATGTTTATGCCACAGCCTTATTGATTCAGTGACTGGAAGGGAAAAATTCACCTATTCGGGTTCCATTCGACGCCCGTGTGTGTGTGTGCGGTATCATTCGGCGTGTGTCTAACATATTTCCATTCACTTCTTCGAATTTTTTGGGTGATAGACTCTTAGTTGGTCCCTTGACAGAATTCCTGGTTACTTCTTCTTTCCGGCTGGTCATATGACCCTCAGCAACGAGTAGAGATAGGCGTTCATGAATGTCTGCAGCAGCCTGTTGGAAATGCTCTTAGTCTATGTTGCTTTTCTGGTCTGTCCATATGCCTCCTGTAGCTGAAACGTGCCTGAGGGTATCTTTGTCGCCTCCAACTCTACTTTCACCTGAAGTTCCATCTTGATTGCCTCTTTTGTTAACTTGTGAATTCTCACCTGTAGATCGTCGGGTTTGTTTGAGACATCGCACATAAATCATCCGTCAAGTATATATTTTTTAGAGTCTTTTTACCGGTCAAACGTATTCCAGTTCACTCGCTTCCCACCGTCTGCCGAATGATTCACTACACAACAACCGAAAATTTCATAGGTAATAATAGGTAGCTCTGTCTTACTCCTGTCGTCACTCCAAACTCTTCACTGGTCTGAGTTGTGAATCCTTTAGTATGCAGCATCATCATATAGCTGTTGAATGAGGTTTATGAAGGTCGACGGCATTCTGCAACGTTGAAGGAGTTTTGAAATTACTTCACAGCTGATACTGTTGAAGATCTCTTCACAGTTGATGCGGTTAAGATACGGAGTTGACTACCATTCTAAACTCTGTTCAATGATGAAGCGTAGCGTTGTAGTTCTTTTCTCAAATGATTTATTTTTTCCTGAAACCGGCCTATTCTACTTGTAGCTTCGCACCCAGAGTATCTCTCAGTCTTTCAGAAATGATGCGACTTAGGGATGGACGGGAGCACGATTCTGTGCCAGTTTCTGATAAGGGCTTAAGACGCCTTTCTATGGTAGTTTGGCAAGGGAACCCTTCCAATCTGTGTGTACCTTTCATGCTTTCCAAACCTTCTGAATAGTGTCATCAGAATATCCCAAAATGAGTCACCTAGTTACTTAGACAGTGAGGAGTTAGTCTAGTTCAATAATACGGCAATGTTCAACAACAGCATCCTAAGGGATCCGAACGCGTGAGTGACCTTCAGCCGACCAATTTTTGTACAAAAATGATGTACATTTACAAGGAAATGCATGAAAACACATTAAACAGGTTATCATTCTCTGACATGACTTATAAATACGTCTCAGTTATAATGAGAAGTACCATTTTGTAAGTTAGGACTAGTTTCTGTACATTATATTCACCGAGGTGAGGGAAGATGAGCTGTTGTTGTGAATCGTTCATCTCTCTTATCCTGTTGTGCAGTCTTCCCCAAAGCCCTCAGTCGAATTACTATGGTTTCCAGCAAGAGGATCGACAACTACTTACCAGGAAAATGTGGATAAGAAAACAAATAAAAATAAATGACACCAACTCTAAATCTGTCCCTGATCGTAACCCCAACCTTAATTGTGCCCGTAACACTAACCCTTATCTAAAACGTAATTCTAACGCTAACGCTAATACAACCCTGATCCCAACGAGCTATTAACACATTGTCGAATCAGTACTTAAAAGCATTATCTGAGTGAAATTTGCTGCTTAGTTAGTGAATAGTGATGATATTTCAACTATGACAATGACAGGTGCCGTCAGCTTAGCGACTAGCATGCGTTCAAAGTCATTGGAGCGTTCGTACTCTTGGGACGCTATTGTTGGATTTCGACAATAATACAATAAATTTTATGATCTTTCAATGGTCATTATCCTGGAGAGAACCAAACACGCCACCTTGGATGAAAAAACTCCACTGTAACAGGCTGGATTCAGGAGGAACAAGTAATGCATCGATCAAATCGCAAAACTACGGATGATCATTGAACAGAGCTTAAAAATGGTAGGTCAGCTCTCTAACTCAGTCAACTTCATAGACTTTGAGAACAGCTTCAGCAAACGGCGTCGATCGAGAGGTGGTTTGGCTACTACTTCGCTACTACAGGGTGAAGCCGACAATTATACATCTCATCCAACAGTTGTACGACAATGCTGCATGCCAAGAAATCCACAACGGGGACCTCACGGAATCCTCCGAAGTGAAGATGGCAGTAAGACAAGCAGGTCGCCTACTATCTCCAATGATTTTCCTGATTGTGGTAGACTGGATAATGCGACAGACACACAGCGGGCAGCAAGGAAACAGGCATAAAATGGACCCTCACAAAATACATGGAGGATCTGGACTTCGCCGATGATATATGTCTGATTTCACACAAACTGGAAGATATGCAAGTGAAAAGGAACAAGTTGGCAGAAGAGGCATCCAGAGAAGATAGGACTTCAGGTGAACATAGAAAAAACAGAGGAAAAGTGGGGGAAGATTCCTGGCCAACACCAACAGCAGCAAAAACAGACAACAATCAGCATAGATCGGAGAAATCTGAAAGAAGCAACCTCCTGTACCTACCCACCTACCTGAGAAGCATCGTTTCAACTACAGGTGGACGGAACTGATGAGGATATCAAAGCGAGGATCGTGAAAGCAAGTTAAGCTTTCATTACTCTCAAGTGTGTACGGAGATGAAAATGGGATGAAAAATGGGATCTGGTTTCTCAACTTCAATGTAAAGTCAGTACTACTTTATGGATCAGAGACTTGGCGCGTCATAAAGGGCACCTCAAACAAACTACACACCTTCATCAACAGCTGCCTTTGCTCAATAATACTCAAGATCAGATGGCCGGCCAGAAAAGATCAGCAACAGGAAGGGATCTCTGGAAGCGAACCAACCAGGAACAGATTGTGCAACAAATAAGCTGGAAGAAATGGAGATGGTTTGGCCATATTCTGAGGAAACCATCAAGTTAGTGATATCACTAGACAAGCCCTCGAGTGGAACCCTATCGAATGGGAAGCGGCGAGTTGGTCGTCAGTGCAAGGGTGATTTGGAGGAGGTCATATGAAGAGGAAATGAAAGCATATGAGCAGACGTGGAGCCAGGTGATGAAAACGTTAGCGGAGAACCGAACACAATGGAAACGTGCGCCTGCAGCCCTACGTTCTTCTAGGAATTAAAGGAAACAATAATAATAATAATATAATGTACAATGGTTATACATGAAACTACTTCAAATCATTTATAGTCACGTGACCTTACTATCGATTTCTTCCCTTACTTACTTTAAATATCTAGGACGATCGATTAGCTTATCTTAATTTTAGTTAGTAATACATACAATTAATTAATAGGCCAAATTTTCAACAAATATATCAACACAGACTACTGAAATACTGATTGGTAAAAAATTCAGTTAACAGCGAAAAAAGAGAATGTCTGTTTATCCAATACCCTCAAATAAAATACCTGCAATGAATATGTATCAAGAGATAAATGATTGTAGAATACGTGAATTCAATGACGAAGTCGATATCACTTTTCCACCGTATATAGTTGATAAAAGAATATTGAAATGTATAGAATATAATAATTTAAATTATTTACAAGCTTATATTAAAAAATGTCCATATAATATTGAACGTTATTTTTATTCGGAGAATATCCCATCAATAGATCCAATTCTACGTAAGGTTATTATATCTAATCTATTAGGCTATGCTATACTTTATCGTGCTAATGAATGCCTACAATACTTATTGACAATCAGCTCAAATCCTTTTCAATCCGCTTTTTTCATCGAATACTCTTCAAAGCCTAATGGAATTAATAAAAAATTATTCATGTATGAAGCACCAACTGTTATCCTGTTGGCTAATTCAATTCAAGAGAAAAAACGTGATGAAGTGATTAAACTGCTAATGAGTTTAAGATCAGCTAATGTTGAACTTCACTTGCCTATTGCACTACGTCAACAACAAATGGAACCACCGAATGAACCTGTCTCACTTATCCTACGTTTTATAGATACATGGGAGTGTTTAGAAAAAGAGTTGGAGAAACAAGATGAAGCAGAAGCTAGTAAGAATAAAGAATTATTAAAAGAATTAAAATCTGTGTATAGAGCAGAGAAATTTGATAAGATGAAAAATGAATGAACTTGAAAGTTGAACAACACATTGTTTAAATTTCAGTGTGGCGCGAAATCAAAATAATTTACTTTTAACTGGATAAATAATTTCAATTAATTTACTTATTCATTTAATACTTTATTTTGATATTTAATTATTATTATTACTGTAATAACCAAATCACATATATACCTCATGATGTGTGCCTTTAATTAAGTCTTCCAATGGCGGTATAATAAACGTCGCTAAGTCAACCTGTTCTCCTTTATAGCTATGAGATATTCCTATTAAGAGTGAAAGATATGAAAGGGTTAACTGTCTCTGATTCTATTGTGGGTGTTTACCTTCTATCTATCATACTAAATGGTATAATAATATTGATCAAAGACAGCTAACCAGGTTTTTCATGTCTTCCATTTTCAATGGCCATAAAAGAGGATGGAACGGACTGCTGAGCAGTGTATACGTCCTTTTATCGATAACCGGATATCATGTCCACGCCAAAGATGATGTAAATCAGCAATTACAACACGAGCCTTTTATATCAGTGTTGAGATTTCATCAGTGATCAACCCGTTGGGGCTGGCTGATGCAACTTCCCAGACAGGTGAAGTGGTCAACACATTCTTCCACTTCGTTCACTGTATTTAACCTAGGAATCAATCAGTGTTGTCCAGTCCTGAAGCATCACTTTACATTTGACGGTAGCAGATAGCATTCCAAACACAGGAAGATGGCTGCTCCTCAAGGTGTTCAGAAGCTTCTCACCTTAGAGAACTATATCATCTGCATATTCTAAGTCAACATGACTATTCCCTGGTAATAAGTCCATCCTTAAGTCAGGGGACAGCTATCAAACACCTTTTGGTTATCAACGACTTTCTCTCTAAATGAAGCCGATTTGTTAGCAAATCTAAATCTCTACATAACTTAGAATATAAACATATTTCCTACTTTTCGCGATTCTCTTTACCTTACACAACTTCTAGACTCATACGCCGAAATTTACGCATGGTCATTATGCTTATTATGACGCAATAACGTACCTTTAAGGCAAAAGCACGCTTTTAAGAATAATAAGATTTAATAGTGTGAAATATTCCGATATCATGAATTAAAAGTCAGTCTGAATGAAGAATACTCTTTTCAACAATTTCTCTACACTGTTCATCCAGAAACTAAAAGACATCTTACCCTAGCTCTTCCTCATGCCTATATAATTTCAGCTGTTCTTGTCATGTAGGTTGTATGATTACGTGGGTTTGTCTATATGTTTGAGAACATTTACGACCTTGGCTCAACGAAGGGGGTGGGGAAGTCAAATGCATAAAAAAAGCTCGATTCTCCAACATTTGGTCGATAGTGGACAACGCATTGATACCAGCACAGCCGTCAAGGTTGGATACCAAATTATCACGCACAGTTCGCTGACGTCTCCTACATATAGCTGAAGCTGTTGCAATAGGATTGATTAAACCGGGACTTTGTATACAAAAACAGCGCGTTCAGACGCTGGTCGTACCGTAGCCAAACTTGGATTAAAGTTTCTGCTTCTCTGCAAGAGGGCCCCTTCCCCTTATCCTTTTGCTGTGCTTATTATTGCAGTTATTATTACTATTCGTTGTAACTTATACCCTTCATTTGAGCATATTTTTATTAGTCAAGTATTGGTTTTGTAGGGATTTTGTTTGATTGCATGGAGGATTTTATTATGGGCTGATATCAGTTAGAGAACCACTGGAAAACCTGGGAGTACTGGACAGCTGTTTCGTCCTAGTTTGAGACAAAATCCCTACAAAACCAGCACCTGACAATTAATCTGATGCTCACTAGCGACTGGATCTATTCACGCATTTAACCTGGGGTTCTAGTGGGAAGCCATGACCACTAGGGTACAGCAGGTTGAAGATGAGGCAGTAACTCATCGAAGATAACATTACGAAATGGTCGCACTATGTCGTGAATTGGCAGAAGTTAGAATTCAAGGACCATTGGATCGGTTTCCAGTGGCCCAATGGTCTACGAGCTCGCTTTGTAACCAGAAGGTCCTGGGTTCGAACCCCGGTGGGTGTGTACTGTTGAAGAGTCCCAAACTGGGGCGAAACAGTTGTCCAGTACTCCCAGGTGGTTTTCCAGTGGTTCTCCAACTGATGTCAACTCATGATGAGATCCTTCATGCATTTTTTCAATACTATCGAATTTTCCATTTATACTATCCGGATTTTTTATTAGTGATATTATCTCTTTTCTCAATATATGCCTCCACTTGTTTCATTTCAAATATTGGCTATTTCATGATGAACCTTTCACTCTAGTCTTACTATCTCCTCTTTAATGCATACTTCTTTGTACCGGACACCTTTTAGAACCTTGAACTAACTTGTCAGTTTTTCGTACTCCATATTGTATGAATCTATTATGACTAATCACCACCATTACCTCCTTTTTCACAATATTTGTGATTGGATTCAGTCTAGTACGTCCGTCACACAAATACTATTTATTTTCAGGATTTCATCATGAAGTGACACTGGTTAGAGGACCATTGGACACCAGCCAGGGGTACTGGACAACTGTTTCGTCAACCAAGTTTGGGACTCTTCAGTGGTATGCACCCACCGCCAGGAATAGAACCCAAGATCTTCCAGTTACAAGGCGAGTTCGTAGACCATTGAGCCACTGAGAAGCGATCCAATGGCCAGTCCATGAATTCCAACTTCTGCCAATTCATGATATTTCCTTTTCAATTAGATATTCATCTCTGTCTCTGTTATAACTGCGATGAATGAAAGTAAATCTCCGTCGCCAATTGTTATATCTTGCTCTGTCTGCGCCTGAACTTATATGTTATATAGTTGCGCTGAACAGAATAAAAACTGTCGTCTTTGCGTGCTATAACTGCAATGAATTAAGATAAATCCACGTCGCCAATTGTTATATCTTGCTCTGTCTGCGCCTGAACTTATATGTTATATAGTTCAGGCGCAGACAGAATAAGGTGAAAACGTCTTCATTCAATCTCCCTACAGTTTTTATTCTGTTCAGCGCAACTATATAACATATAAGTTCAGGCGCAGACAGAGCAAGATATAACAATTGGCGACGTGGATTTATCTTAATTCATTGCAGTTATAGCACGCAACGACGACAGTTTTTATTCTGTTCAGCGCAACTATATAACATATAAGTTCAGGCGCAGACAGAGCAAGATATAACAAATTGGCGACGGAGATTTACTTTAATTCATCGCAGTTATAGCACGCAACGACGACAGTTTTTATTCTGTTCAGCGCAACTATATAACATTTTTGACTGTGTTAATTACAACCCAATTATAATGTCTATCTCTCTGGACGATCTTCCGGTGACTGCAGTTGAGGTTGCCAGACACACACTGCGTGATCCAGTTTTACAGCAAGTATCAAAGTTCATCCGATTTGGCTGGCCTCCACATGTTCATTCAAATGTTTTAAAACAGTTTTACCAGCGACGCAAATCCCTATCCATCGTTAATGGATGCATAATGTTTGCTGATCGTGTTGTCGTTCCAGCTAATCTTCGTGACCATGTGCTTCGGCAGCTTCATATATCACATCCTGGTGTTGGGAGAATGAAGGCGATCGCTCGCAGTTATGTTTACTGGCCCAACATCGATGACCATATCGAAGACCTCGTTCGCAAGTGTAGTAAATGTGCTCAAGCATCAAAGTGTCCACGCAAGACAGAACTATGTTCCTGGCCACGACCGGACAAACCATGGTCCCGTGTTCATGTTGACTTCGCTGGACCGTTCAATAGTATGCATTTCTTAATATGTGTCGACGCGTTTTCCAAATGGCCAGAGATATTTCCTATGCATTCTGCCACATCAATTGCAACAGTGTCCCTCCTACGTCAACTATTACTGAACGTTTCGTCGACACCTTTAAGCGTGCTTATGCAAAAGCGAAGGGGGAGGGAACAACAGAAAAAAATTTTGGATAAATTCTTGCTGCATTATCGTACGAATGAAAAAGGACAGTTATGTGGCAGACACACAGATCACGCTCTATCCAGTACCACGCAAAGGTCAACTCGACAAAGAAGAGCTCCGAAACCTTTGCAAATACATCCAAAAAGCAAGTCCTACACTCTTTACGGGGGGAGGTGATAGGATCCCACATATTTTGGTATTGACTGTTTAAACTTGCATAAATGGTATGTTATCATTCTCACACATTTTGGTATTGACTGCTAATTTTGTATATTATCATTCACACGCATTTTGGTAGTGACTGTTTTTGTATATTGTCATTCTCACGCATTTTGGTAGTGACTGCTAATTTTGTATATATGGTATATCATTCCCACACATTTTGTTACTGACTGTCAATGTCGCACATATGGCATATTAGCATTTCTCACACACTTTGTTATTGGCTATTAAGGTCAATTATTTCAAATGCTGTTAGCTGTCCATATTGTTGTAAAATGTATAAATACCATGGCTTTCTTTATCGTTGTTGCACCTCAATACACAGTCACAGTCCAGCCTTTGTCTTTTGATATTTGCGTGCTTTACCAAGTCGGAAGGTACGACAAGGAGATAGACAGATTAGTTCAGGCGCAGACAGAATAAGTTATAACAAATTGGCGACGGGGTTTTACCTTAATTCAGTGCAGTTATAACAGTCTCTACTCTAATATAGATATATATTTAGACATTGTTATTGCAATGCACAACAATTTACCAATTAAGTGGCGATATGTTTGTTAACAATAATTAGTCAATATAAACATGTCAGTAGGGTGATAATTAACGAAGGAAATTAATACATACAATTAAAAGGGAGAAATGGTGCCCCCTACGAAATTTGATGAACTCTACAGAAATTCACCTTAAATCATGAAATACATGAGCACAATGACAATTGGCGTATGCGATCCTAGCTTTCATGATACGGTTGGAAGTCTCGTCCGTTACACTTCTGCCAGCACTCACATAACTACCCAGATGCACAAAATTGTCGACATTTTCAAGTGCTTCACCTGTAAGAATGAGTGAAGGTACAGGCTCCTGCCAATCTTGTATGGTATGCACTTTGCACTTAGGCAGCGCATAGCATATACCATACTTACAGACACTGATAGCCAACTGATTAAGTGCGATTTAGACAGTCAGCATGCTATTGCACAGTAAGACGATATCGTCTGCATACTCGAGGTCGGAAACTCTCTCTACAGGGAGCAGATCTACACCACCTTCATACACGTCTTTCAAAGCTGACTCTAGAATGTCATCGATAGTAGAGTTAGAGAGAAATGAGGAGATTGGGCAACTCTGTCCAACCCTACTGTTGGTTGGGAACAGTGGTGATGGTCATATGCCCTCAGTCTGCATGAGGTATTTCTGTATTTGGCTTTCAGGATGTTAACACACTTCTCAGGTACACCCCTCTACAACAAACAGTTCCAGACCACAGTTCTATCGAAGGCAGACTTAATATCAAGAAACAACGATTGCTGGCCTGCAATACGTATGGTGATGTTCCAACTACTGACGAAGGGTGAACACATGATCAATGCATTCACAGCCTGAATGACTACAACACTGCTTAAGCAAAACGTATTTGAGGAGCTTGATAACCGGTAAGAATCAGCTGTAGCACTAGTGGAAAAAAGTGATAGATATTCGTCTCCTTTCTGACTGTTCAGCAGTGTGAATGAAAAAAAACAAGTTTTGTCCAGCTTTCAACTATCACAAGTCGATATAAACATGTTATTATTCAGCGATAAAGTCACGGTACTGAAATGTTGGTCTCAGGTCCGAATCCCACCTATGATTCATCAGTATCGCTCTCAACGCGATCATTTCTTCATATCTAACGACGATTGTCATCTTACATAATTTAAAATTATTACTCATGAATTCATGTCAAATAATTCTGCTTATATTATCTCTAGAAACCACTCCAGTGGTAGAATAATCGGGGTTCGATTCCTCGCTGACGTATTCTTGAACTTCGCCCAGTCGGTGATATGACTAGCAAAGAGGGAAGGTTGAACAATCCCACCCAGAAAAAATAAATACCCCTCCTACCAAAACTTTAAAGTTCTTAGCTTGAAGACCTACGTTCTCCTAGGAACGCAAAGAAATAAAATGAGGAAAAAATACGGGAAATCCGAGTTCGAATGTCGACTGATACAATCTTACACCTCGCCAAGTTAACTAGCCGCTTGCTTGTAAACGCCAGGAAAAGAGAGACGGATAGGTGTGTGTATAGTAATACCCTCCTCTCAACGTTATTCGAAGCTTTAAGTTCCACACGAAACGCAAGGAGTGAATCAAACACATCATACCACTACCATACGCATTAACATATATTCGTTGCCCTTCTAACTATACATGCAGAAGAATGCCAATTAGATTACCAAATATAAAATTTGGTATTGTAAACCTCCAGGATTTTCCAACCATAGAACATAGAAGACTATCAGAATCCAACGAATACGAGACGTCAGTGTAAACACAACCTTTATCTTCTTCTTGATTCTAACTATTCTGAGTTCCACGTTGCCTAACTTTACTAGAACGACAGGCCAACCAACATACACGAAACATTTTAGTCCAGTGAAGTTCATCATCAGGAAATCCAAATTCATTAAAATGAATAAAAAAACTACGCAAGAAATGGTTTTCATGCCTCAACTACTTCGTGGATAACAATTTGACTTGAAGTTCTGTTGGGAAGTCATGACCACAGGAGAACAAAAAGTTGGGTATGAGGACAAATACTTATCAATAACATTGGTTGCAGGTCGTGTTACGTATCCTGAGTCTATTTTCTCATATGGTACCAACGGTGTTTGGATCTCAACTGGGAGGCGGAGTTAATGCACGAACAAAAGCAAAGCTGGGGAAAAACCCATGGATGATTGCACGCAAAAGTGATACGCTAGCAAACACTGAGGTAGGACATCGTCCTAGGTGTTCTCTGGTGCGTTGTACAAGAAGGTACGAATGAGATTCTTAATAGTTCTGTTGGTGCGTTCGACAAGTCCATTACCCTGTGGGTGATATGGCGTAGTATAGGTCTTCCGGATACCAAAAGTATTGCAGATGTGAGCGAGATGACTCTCGAATACAGCGCCCTGGTCAGAGTGTAGATAAAGAGGAGCACCAAAGCGGGACACCCAATTGTCTATTAACGTGTGGCCGATCGTCAAGGTCGCGTCACTGGGATATGTATAAATATGGTACATCCAAATGAGTCTCAAATACATTTGAAATGTACTTTGCTTGTATTATTATCAAAAGAACAACTAACAGGCAAACTGTTAAAGAAAACGACAATAAATTGATACAGAACACGTTATGAAAGCAACACCTTTTCGGCGCTTTGTATTTCATAATCAATAAACCGGTGAATTTACACAACACAACACAAACACGTAGAGATACAAACAGAAGTGAAACAACACAATTAACTGTAATAGCATACCATCATAATGATTGTTATTCTTTATAATCTATCACAAATTTACACGGAGTTTAAATGATTAATTGAATATATATATATATATATATATATATATGATAAATTTGGTGACTGAAAACTCCCACTGTACTATTGATACTACTATTCGGTATCAGATAGAGAATGTGTACTTGAACCAGACATACGATGAAGATCATTTGACGTCCATAGGAAACCTAGATAAGAAAAAGGAATGGGGAAGAAAAGATCAGGTTGAACAAGGAAATAGACCTGTTAAGTGTAGAGTCCCAGCCGATAACTGCTACCTTGTCGTGGTGGTCGGGATTGAATACCGTAATGACCCAACATGCTCAACTGACTGGGACTCATGCCCTTGCAGGTCCTACCATGTCAGGAAGGTTGTTTGGATAGCGGTTAAACTAAAAGCAGTTACCACCATGGGGTACATGGGCTCCAGTATCCAATCGGATCAAATGAGGTATGAACCCATATGGGTCACTGGAAACCATGGGAATGCAGCTCCTGACGTTGCTCCTCACTGCCTTGCGGATTAGACTACAAGTCAAAGGCTCGGGGGGTGGTCCCTTAATGAAACCACCTGCTTCGGTCTGGGCGCCCGGTCAGTATATCTCAGCCCTCACACAATGAATTGAATAAAGCAACCTACAATCAATGAAACTTATCGCGTGCTATTACACGTGTTGCAATTTCCTTCTTTCTTCCCTTCCCGATAATAGTTAACGAATACTGTTTGAACTTGTTAAGCATGACTGTTTCCCTTCCAGATGAAGTTCTTTATCCGTTCTCTACTTATATATATATATATATTCTCTTCTTTCTTTTTTTTCTTTTGATCTGTGTTGTTTTATTATTACTGTGTGGCGCATCCTTCTTGGTGCCATATTGTACCAAAATTTTATGCGTTTAAATAAATTAAAAGTTTAGAGTAGAGAGAGTAATACACCACATTTTTGTTATCTTGTATTGTGTGTTCCGTTACGAAATACGTCAAATGAAACTGATGCGCACATCTATGCAAACTTCGACATTATTTTGCCAATCAGAATGGAATATGGAGCTACTTAGTTGTTGGTAGCTAACAGTGGGATCAACGACGCACACTTCGTCCTATCTGGGACTCGTCATCCGGATGAACATGCCTTGTGTTCCCAATGAGTAACGGTATTCCAATTGAGAAATACAAAGGAGAATGAAACATATGTGTGCAAAGTAGGTTGGAGAAAAATTAGTAATTAGATTGAGGTATAACAAGACTTAGTGTATGCGATAATTTAAGAAAATTAGTACATCTTCGAACGAACCAAACGATAAGTTAACTACCTGTGATTCGATTGTAGAATTGACTTAATAAAACGCATACTCACGTGATAGATGTTAACATGTGCTTTTGATTCTCGTCCTCTTTGCTTTTATTACTTTTGTCCATTAATCTGTATAATAATGACATATCGTGTTTTGGTGGGGCAACAGGGGATTGGGTATTAGCAGCCTGCAGAAATCACTAGTCTACCTAAATTTTCATCCAGTATAAAATACCACAATCAGCTGATTGGCTTAAATGTCAACAAAGCGAAATTCACCAATCAGAGAATATGCGTGGGCGAATTATGCGCCTTCTGATTGGTAGATTCCAGTTGACTGACACAGTGCCAATCAGCTGATTCTAGGCGTTATCTACAAGCTTCAATATTACAACAAAATAATAGTTTTAATTATTATATACAGACAGTTATGCGGGTAGAAAAACAACAACAAATGCTTCTTACTAGAACTTGGAGTCATAGGTTCATCAAGATTATTGATTTTTGGTGTAGCCATACCAGCGTTGAATGCACTCGGTAAAGGTGTACTATCACCACGTGGAGTTGTACTAGCTGCATGTGGAGTTTGTGCACCATATGCCAACTATTATTAGGAATGAGAAAACAAAATGAAGAAATTAATAAATATTCTTAGTAATTATCATTAAACACAATGATATATTACTTTTAATACAGGCTAAAACTATACACAGTAGTATTATCTTGAAGTTACTCGTCTGAGGGTTGGTTAGCAGTGGAAATCACCACACAGGTTTCGTGTTAATCAAGAATTATCAACTGGATATATCTGCTTTCCAATGAATGACAGGATTATCATTAACACTTGAACGTCAAAGCGTCGTTATTCACCGAAATAAGGTTATTAATCAACTACGCGTAGTGTTGGGTAGAGAGGGTAAGTTAATCACTGAGGTTGTGAAGTTACATGGATTAGAGATGACCAGAACACGTATTACACAGACTAAATCACCATCTTCATCGTTGAACAATATGTATCTGTATTTCCCAGTAAGTGGTGGGGGAATGCAGGCAGCACCCAACTGACGAGTCTCAAATACGACGAAATGCGCATCCTGGTGGATTCCATTGCTAGTCACCAACCATCAATTTACTTCAGGTTAAATCCTCAGACATTGTCAAAGCATCCGCACAAGGAACCGACACGTCAACGGAGGCCGAACACATCGATCCAATCAAACAACAGTTTGGTCAGGTAAAAAGAAAGAGAAAAGGCAGAATGAAACAACATGATAACAATAATAATTAAAATGAACAAATCTTACTTGTGGTGTACGCATTTCACGCATTGGTGTAACACGTGGTGTAGTAGCTCCATATTGTGTATCCATAATACGACCACCACTGTCTAACAAGGCCATATTTTCACGTGCTACAGGTACTTTTTTAAATTGACTATGTAATTCCAAGACAACATGAGTTGGTGTGGCATCACATATGATACCCAGTAGACCTTTCAAGGTACCCTACAGAAAAGAATATATACAAGAACATTATGAACAAAACAATTAATGCCTACAACAACTACATTTTCATAGTATTGTGGATATTGAATTAAGAAATTATTTTTGACAGTCATGGCTAAAAAACAACATTGGAGATTATGACAACGCTCTGATCTGATTATATCGACACTTACTGTTTATTATTATGTCCCCTTGGGTTCTGAGTGGGACAAAGAGCTTCAACAGTATGTTTTCACTCTGTCCTGTTCTCTGAGATCATTTTCAGATGGTGACACGATTGCCCATAAGCTTTCATCTTGTCACACAACCTCCTCCATGTCACCCCCTCGGATCAATGCCCTACTCATTGTTTCCTATTCGGGTTCCTCTCGATCTACGGTCTGGTGCGCAATGTAATTCGAGGGTCTCTTCAGAGTATATCCGGTCCATCCCCTTTTTCTTTAGCATATTTGTTCAGCAATAGGATATCGATACATACTTTAACTTACTCCTATATTAGCTGTTATGGTATTAGAAAGTAAATAATAAATGCTGAAGGTGAGATTAAGGTACTGTATCAAGTGTTGGTTTTGTAAGGATTTTTTTATTTGATTGGTTGGAGGATTTCTCCATGAGCTGACATCGGTTATTAGAGAACCACTGGAATACCTGGGAACGCTGGGGATCTATTTCGTTCTATTTCGGGATTCTTCATGCGTACGCACCCACCTTCAGAGACCGAACCCAGGACTTTTTGGTTACAAGGCCAGCTTGCAGAACATTAAGTCACTGGGATCCGATCCAATGGCTAGTCCACGAATTCTAACTTCGGCCCTCAGTTAATGAGTTCGTTTATTTTACTTCCGCTTTAAACTCTATCTACGCGTCACATACTTTTTTTATCGGAACTCAGTCGCTCTGAAGGTCTTTCATCTTCCAGACTGTCAGACATACTTACTGCGTGAGAGTTGATGATACCACCCCGTTGCAAAGGTTGAGGTATAAAGCAGTAGGGTTGAAACTCTGAACTCACTAACTGAAAGTCTAGTGTTCAAGCCAATGAGTCATGTTTACAGTATGAGTCAGACAGGCTGTAATTAGTAACTTGTTTGAGTAAAAACAACGATTAAGCATTGTGTTTCAGTCTTGTATTATTGTTATTCATTTTCTGTCTATATCTCCCTTTCTATTCTATGATGAACTATGACGATTTGAAAATAGTTAGCAATTATATTCAACTAATGTTGATCTGCTTCTCTTTTCACTGTAAAAACTTTAGGACGCAGTTACGCGAAACGGAATTTTCACGCACCTCCCCACCATCGTTAGTATTCTTTTCTTACTCGCCACCAAGTGAACACACACAGATTTTTAGACACACATCTCAACCCCACTCGGATTTTTTGTCGTCATTTTCAGATGGTTTCATGACTGGTCATAGTTCCCTTCTGTCTGTCTGTTTTCGACATAGAACTTTGCACAAATGTGCGACAGTTCAAGTCACCACACTCCGTGTAGCACGCGAAGCAAGAGAAGAAAGTACAAGAAAAGCATAATAGAAACAGTGAGCAGAGGTGTGAGACAAAGGAGTAATAAAGAAATACAAAACAGTTTCATTGGAGATCATGAGTCACAGGGAGTGGATGCATCTGCACCAGCCACTGAGAACGATTTTGAGCCATGTCACCAATTGTTTCCAACCATAGATTTTTATCGTCCCGAGGACCCCAGCCTGGAAGTCTACACCTTCCTACGTGGCTTAGACTAACTGTTGTGGATTTCATTGACTGGTGAGGCCATGTTTTTGTTTGACCGCCGCTAGCTTTTTTCCAGCCTGACCCTATATCCGCTAACATAGCTCGTCGAGGAAGGCGATGACTTGGCATACGTAACACATGTCCTAACCATCTCAGTCGATGTAGCTTCACGACTTCGTCGATTGATTTCCCCTGTTTACCTAGAACTCTACGCCTAACCTCCATGTTGCTCACCTTATTACGCCACTTTACACGGGAAATAGAACGCAGGCACCTATGATCAAAGACAGCTAGTCTTTTCATGTCTTCCACTCTCAGTGGCCAGGTCTCACAACCATAAAGGAGGACGGAGCGGACTGATGAGCAGTACACCCGCCCTTACTTTATCTTCACATGATCTCCTCTACGTAACCCATGAACCAATGCTTAACTCACCACTTCCCATTTGAGCTTCAGTCAAGAGTCTACTCGGTGTGTGATGCCATAGATACTTGAAAGCCTACTCAGAGTACACCTCATCCATATCCATTTCCTCCCATATATTTGTTGGTTTGTTCACTGCCTTCCACAGTGTTGCTTGTCGCTTATCCTCCATTCTAGCTATTTGGTATTTAGAAGTGGGTAAAACAAGGTCACCCCCAAATATTTATCAACCTTATTCAACACGCTGTACGACAACGCTACATGTCAAGTCATCCACAACGGAAAACTCAGTGATACGTTTGGAGTAAACACCGGAGTCAGACAAGGGTGCTTATTATCACCCACGATGATATTCTTAATTGTGGTGGACTGGATTATGCGTCAGACAGTGAGTGGGAAACGAGCAGACAGGGATATCCTGGACCAACCGACCTGAAGAACCTAGAAGACCTGGATTTCGCGCATGGATGATTTATGTTTGATGTCACTATCACAAAATCGAAGACTTACAAACAAAAACTGACCGACAAACTGGTCGAAGAAGCAGCCAGAGAAGACAGGACTCCAAGTGAACATAGAGAAGGCGGAGGTGGTAAAGATAACGAACCAACATCAAAAATGACCAGCACCAATCAATATCAATGGGAGAGATTCGAAAGAGTTCGCCTTCTTCACTTATCTAAGAAACTTGTTTCAACCACAGACCGGTGGAACGGATGAAGATGTCTGAAATCAGTTTGGAAATATTTTGCACTGAGTCAGCGCAAACAACAAGATTCGGATTTTCAACATAAATGTGATGTTAGTCAGTTAGTTTTGCTATGTGGCTCAGAAACGTGGCGCGTGAGTCACGAAAAGCATTCCCAGTAGGCTCTTGCAGACTTCTATGAACAACTAACACTTTCACTGACTCCATATTCAAGATCACATGGCCGGCCAGAAAGAATTAGCAACAAGAAAGTTGGACAAAGAACTAAACAAGATCCTATCGTTTAAAAAATATTCAAAAGAAAATGTAAATCCACTGGACACACGCTGAGGAGACTGTTGAATGACACCGCACTTCAGGTCATCGCTCGAGTGAAACCTGAATGGGGAACGATGAATGGTGACATAGAGGACGAGATAAGAAACTATGGGCGATCGTAAGGCTAATGTTCCAATGGGTATTCTCCACGAATCGTAAGGCTGACTAAAGAGGACTACAGATCAGTACGAAGTGTGAATATGCTGTTGAAATCCTATAGTCCACTCGGATCTCAAGGGAACAATAGTAAATAACGATAATAATGTGTCGATGGTTCAATGGTATAGCGCTTGTCACCCGCGCAGGAGGTCTGAGTTCGACCCCTGACCGATGTACTCATATATAATTCGTCTAGTTTACCAGTTTATATTAACGGAAGCCTGCTTAAATCACCGGGACACATAAATTTTCTGTCTATCCAGATGCCTTGTGTTTACTCCATATCATATTGTAGTATTGATCTAATTAACATAATGAGCCACAGTTCATACTGGTGCAATATTCCAGATAAGTTTCTGCATACCACTGGGAATTTTCCGAAACAAATGGAGAAAAAAAATAGTGAATTGTACCGGAGCAGACTTCGGGTGAAACAATATTGTTTCAGATTGTATATTATGGATTATTATAATATTTGAAGATTGAGTACGAGTAAATATCTTGTAATGAAACTCGCTGAAAATTCTGTACAGTGTATAAAAACGCATTTTTCAGAATAAAGCTATTATTATTGTTAGTCTGTAGTAAGTTCGAAAAAGAAGTAAATTTGGACATGAAGGAACAAGTAACTGAACCAGTCTACGCTGTACACAAAGCTCTGGCATCTCTATTTCGATGAATAGAGCCTCAACAATACGGATCACCAGTGATGTCCGTCAGGTTTGTCCACCTTTATCATCATAGCTTTACTAATAGACGTAGCCCTAACTGAAGTGGGCGACTTAGAGATCGACTTGTTATCTGTCTGTCTGTCTGGATTCAACATAGAACTTGGCACCGAAGTGCAGCAGTTCGAGTTGCCACGTTCCAAAATAGCACACAGAGGCAGACAAGAAGATGAGTGAAGAGAATCAATAGAGTTTGACAGGTATAAAAGCGAAACAGAATGGGTAATGGTAGAAAGAAATGTGAAAGATTACAGAGACTGAATATATCTGCGCCATTGACAACGATTTTGAGCCATGTCACCTATTGTCTCCAGCCATTGATTCCCGAGGACCCCAACCCGGGAGTCTGAATCTCCCTACCTGACTCAGTTTAACTGTCAAGGATTTCATGGATTGGTGCCATGTTTTTGTTTGGCCACCACTTACCCTTTTCCAACCTGCACCTATATCAGCTAGTAATGCCCGTCGGGGGAGGCGGTGGTTAGGCATGCGCAGCACGTGACCTAGCCATCTTAGTCTATGTAACTTTATAGCCTCTTCGATTGATTTTCCCTCTTTGCCCAACACTCTACGCCTAACGTCAACATTACTTACCTTATTGAACCACCTAACGTGAGATAGAGATCGTAGACATCTATGATCGAAAGCAGTCAACCTTTTCATGTCTTCAACGCGTATTGGCCATGTTTCAGAGCCATAGAGAAGGACGGAGCGAACTGATGAGCAGTACACACGTCCCTTGGTTGATAACCGGATGTCACGCCTACGCCAGAGATGGTGTAAGTCAGGGAATAATTCCGTTGACTTAGAATATACAAATGATATAGCCCTGCTCCTGGGTGGTGAAAGCGCTGACAAAATTCAGTCTTCTGAACACCCTGAGTAGCAGCAATCTTCGTATATTCTGGCTTGCGATTTGCTCTGGCATATGTAAGATGATGCTACAGGAAAGGAGACTGGAATACATCGACTCATTCCTAGCTTAAAAATAGGCAGTGAAAGGGTGGCTGAGCGTGTTGGCCACTACACTGATTTGGGAGGTTACATCATACCCAATGGATTGATCGCTGACTAAATCTCAGAACGGATATTAAAGGTTCGTGTTATATATGCCAACCTACATCATCTCTGGCATAGACGTGATATTCAGGCTATTGATGTAAGGATGTGCATACTGCTCACCACTTCGTTCACACCTCCTAGTTTATGGCTGTGAGTGAGAAACGGCCATTGAATGGCAGACATGAAGGGCCTGGGTAGCTGTCTTAGTTCATAGGTGCTCGCGTTCTATCTCCCGTTTAGATGGTAGGTGTAATAGAGTGAATAGTATTGAGATGAGGCACTGGTCGAGTGTTACGTAAGGAGGGGAAATCAATTGTCGAGGTTGTGACGTTATATCGATTGAATGAAATGGTTAGGACATGTGTTACGCATGAATAGCCATCCATCACCTTCCTAGACCCACAATGTTAACTGACATAAAATTGATCAAGTTGGAAAAGAGTTAGTGGTATGGTATCAGTCAATAAAATCTATGACAATTAGTTTAAGCCATCCATGTGGGGAGGTCCACGGTATTCTAAAAGCCAATGACTGGAGACAGTTAGTGATATGGCTCAAAATAGTTATCAATAACACAGATGCATTCACTCTTTGTGATTTTTCATAACTAATAACAGTCTATTGTCCTTTCACATTACTATTCTGTTTTCCCTCACTCACACTTCTCTCTTTTGAATCTCTCTCTACTCTCTTCTTTTGCTTTGCGTGGTACATGTGGAGGGAGTGTGACAACTCGCACTGGTGCGTATCTGCGCAAAGTTCTATGTTGAAACCGGTCAGTCAGTTAGTTCGAAGATGTTTAATTATTATTCCACTTCTTACTGATCCACTTTCAGTTCTTTGTAAGCACGCAGGGTAACCTCGGTAGGTGGGACAGCGTTCGGACATCTGACTGGAAGTTAAGCGCTTAAATCAATGACAGATATCACCGAAGAATAAAACCTTTAACAACAGGGAGTATATATATATACACATAGATATCATCACAAAAATAAACACATACCTTAACAATTAAAGCTGTCCTACCGACTAACTGACGTTCATTACGATTCCCTCTACCACGTCCACCTTCAGTATTGTTCCTTGCACCACCACCACCGATAGGAGTTATCGTTTTCACCGGTACACCGGCTTCATTATTCGCTTGTGTATCATTACCGCCTTGTGATGTTGTCAGCACAGATATTTGACGTGTTTTAGCTACAACTAATCCAGCATTTTCTAAATGTGTACGACAATAAATAAATGCCCATGAACGATATAAATGCTTTACTTCACCAATTAATCCACAATATGGTTTATCTAACAAACGTACTGTTTGTTTCAATTGGATAGAATTACCATTACGATCTAACGCTTGTGGTGGTGGTCGACGATGTGTATTCAATCGACGTAAAGCTGTATTCGATTTCAGATTGACAACTTTACCAAAACATGTTAATACAGAGACTTGATCACGTTCCACGTGGACCACAACACCAACTGTTTGTGGATCAACTTGTACTAAATCCATTAATTGTACATGACCTGATGATTCCACAGTGGTAGCACGATCTTGCCATAAACGTAAATCTTTTGGTGCAACTTTCATTTCATTCATACTATTATCAGATAGGACAACAGCGATAGTGGGATCAAAACGTATCACAAGACCAGTTTCATTTGCATATCGACCACTAAGAACCTGTAAATTAATTTAGAAAGTGAATCTATATTAGTACCAATATAAATTATTCACAAACAGTAAATAAGTAACCAAGGATAGATAAATAATTATACCAACAATTCGAGTCCGTACATCAGTACAGAAAAGGTGCATAGCACCCACCGTTACTATAAGACATCAGGAAATAAAAAAGGTTAATTTCCACAAAAGGGTAACACCGAAGAAATATCTAAAAGTTCTATTAAATGAGTTACAAATACATATTATAATGTCCCGATAAATGACCTGGTACAATCAAAGGTGGATAGACTTCTGTTTTCCTCGAAATACTCTCATGTGACCAAGCATTCATAACATCTAGTAGGTAATTCCTATTCTCACTGCCTTCACGTGGCGAGGACATGCAGGAGTTGGAAAACCCTAATTCCCAACTTATGGTGTACAAAATCCGCGAAATCCGGAAGGATCGATTGGTGTCTTGGCTACCAATAGTCATGGGGACGCAGCTTCTGACGCTGCTCCACTGCTTTTCGTATCAAACAAACTTCAAGTCAAAGGCTCGAGGAGTTACTCCTTAAGGCAACCAAGTACCTCGGTCTCGGAGTTCGAGTAGTATCTCATCCTACGCACTAACTATGATATTTTGTGTGGTGCAAATCTTGATGCCCATAACGCACGAAGTTCGTGTTTTAATATTAATAGTAATCATAATAATAACACTTTATAACACAAGTGCTGCGCAGAATTTTGATAAGGAGCTGTAAATTGTTTGTGATACTGCAAAATGCAAAAGAAATGGTAGCACGCAGAGACCTCCTACTCTGAAGGCAACAATGAACTAATTATAATATTCAACATATAGTCATTGGATCAAGCTGGTACAGGCTCCGGCCAATCTTGTGACAATACTTTGCACTTGAACGGAGTAAAGTACATACCGTAGTTTTGGAAATCGACTGGCAATTCATTCAGTATGGTTTGTACGACCTGTATGTTATCTCACAGTAAGATGACATCATCTTCATACACTTGAGGTCAAGCAATCCTTCTCCAGAAAGCAAATTGACACCACCACACACATTCATTAGAGCTATCTTCAGAATTTCATCCACGACAAAGTTAAAGAGAAATGGTGAGATTAGGCAACCCTGTTCAACGCAATGTTGGTTAAGATCAAGAATGATAGCTAGTAGTATACTCGGATTCTGAGGGTTTTCAGGATGTTAACAAACTTCCCAGGAACACATTTTTCTAACACAAAGTTACAGGCAGCATTTCTGTTCAAAGAATCGAAGGTAGCCCTAATAATAAGAAGTACAATTAATGGTTTGCAATAAGAGTGAATGTTCTGGTTACAGACGAAGTGGGCACACAGGATCTTTGCGCCCATGACCTGAAGGCAACACAGTCTGTTTCTCCCGAATGAATTTTTCATATGTTTTACACAGTTTTTAAAGCAAGAAAGAAGCTGATATCTCAGGTACAACCGATAAACAGACGGACACCATAATACCTTCACTTCATATTGACAGAACATCTTAAATCTTCTATAATCTCCAGAACAATCCGCTTAGTTGTCTGACTAAAATCACATCCACATCTTCAAGAACAGCCACTAGTAAGTTGTCTGAGGCGGATGCCTTATGGCGGCTTAGGTACTCAGAGTTCCTTTCGAAATAAAAATTCGAGTCCCGTTGGGAATATTACGAATCAATCTGGGTGGAGGTACATCTAGCCGACAAGCCCTACACAAAGGAAAACAACGCGCATCCCAGCTTCCATTGCTGAACATCATATTAGCCTTTATACATCGTCAAAGCCTCCGTAGTAGAAATCCCACATCTGAACAGCGGTTTCGCATTTCGGTACAATAAAAAGAAATCAATCTGCGGGAAATACAAAATAACCATATAATCCAATAATTCTGTCCCTTCTCACTAAAAGAAAAGGTTGAATTTTTGTTAAAATTAAACTTACAGTGGTCGTATGGCGTGTACTACTACTGACAACAATTATCAGTAGTATATACACGCAAATTAATGGAAAATAGCCAAAATTGAAGACAACACTTGAAGTCAATGTCTATAGAAACCATTGATCTGCAGAAGCCTCAAGGGCAAGATCCCGCATCTGACCACTTCTATGTGCATACATCAGTTCACCTGCTGCTGTGGAGGCAGCTAGCTACATCAGTTGTTCGACGCGCATCCTGTACAAGAGGATTCAAGAACACTATCCAGCATGGTTGCGAAACCCTACGTAGGATTCTAAATAAAACAGGAATTAGGGTGGCATTTAAACCTACAAACTCACTCAGGGACAAGCTCTATAGGTTAAAGGACCCAATTTAACCAATTAGACAAAACAATATAATTTACAAAATACCCTGCAATGACTGTGAGGTCAACTACATAGGCCAAACTAGTAGGTCAGGGGTAGTCAGATTGTCGGAACATAAGAATTTAGTTAAGGTAAGAATGGTTGACCCCGAGAAAATAAGTAATTTAGAAAAAAGCTCAGCAATTGCAATGTACAATAGGGTGAGAGAGGGTTAAAATTCTAAAAAGTAATCTAGATAGGCGGAGAGAGAGGTTGATTACTGAATCCTTGTTCATCGAGTCTACAACAAACACACGCAATAGGAATGAGTCATCACTCATACCTGAAATATGGAAAATACTACTGCCAATCAAATCGAGTGAAAAATAATGGAACTATATAAATGAATTTAGGAAGTCGTGTGATTACCTTGATATGATTATGAGCAATAAATTGTGCTCGAAACGTCATCAGTAAGCATTACTGTATAACATTGTGAGACTTTATCAAAACAAAAATTTACCCATAATGGAATTATACTATACCACAGTGCACAAGTTTTATTCTTATATCAAAAGGCAATAGTGGTGCAATAAGGAGTGCGATAATTGAACACCTGGTTAACACTAATCATTCCATTTCAACAAACGCCCCCTTCAAAGTAATCTACAGAGTCAAGAATAACCTATCAAAGGCAATACGGTTTCGTCTCCTTTGTATCTCTGAAGCTCTGGTCATTCACATAGAAAAACCGTTGCTCATACAAAAGAAGATTACTCAACCACTTCTACTCTCATGGTAACAATGTTTTGATTTGAGTTTTTTTAGTTTTTATTTTTATTTTGATGACTTAATTTTGTTTCTTTGCCTGTTCTTTAATTGCTTATAATTCTTATATTCACTTAGATCTCTTACATAATTCCGTATTATCTACTTTGTTTCTATGTGGATCCTGAGTAAGACTCACTCATCAAACTATTTATATTATTATTACATAACTTCTTTTAACAACTGTTTGTGACAACTCATCACCTTTGTTACTACCCTAGTTTACTTAACACTTAATTTTCTTGACTTGTGTTACCAATCTTCACCTGTTTAGTTGAAATAACCTTAGCCAATTGCAATTTTGTTTGACAAACTTAATGTACACATACACACAAAATAACACATATATATTTGCGATTGTACACCTAAGAAAATGAATTTGCCACCGAAAAGAGACTCTTTGCTGATCTACGTGTTTTGTTTTCATTATTGCCTGGATGGGGATTATCCATGAATTGAAAGAAATAGAAGTGCTTAATTTCTCCAAATCTGGATGTAGTTTACACTCTGATCAGGAAATAATTTCAAGATATAACCTTAAGAAAATCAACAACCAGTCAGAACAATCTATTATCCGCCCGGCCGATAACTGCTACCTTGTCGTGGTGGTCGGGATTGAATATCGTAATGACCCAACATGCTGAACTGACTGGGACTCATGCCCTTGCAGGTCCTACCATGTCAGGAAGGTTGTTTGGATAGCGGTTAAACTAAAAGCAGTTACCACCATGGGGTACATGGGCTCCAGTATCCAATCGGATCAAATGACGTATGAACCCATATCGGTTACTGGCAGCCATGGGAATGCAGCTCCTGACGCTTCTCCCCACTGCCTTGCAGATTAGACTCCAAGTCAAAGGCTCAAGGGGTGGTCCCTTAATAAAACCACCTGCTTCGGTCTGGGCGCCCGGCCAGTATATCTCAGCCCTCACACAATGAATTGAATAAAGCAACAAACAATCAATGAAACTTATCGCGTGCTATTACACGTGTTGCAATTTCCTTCTTTCTTCCCTTCCCGATAATAGTTAACGAATACTGTTTGAACTTGTTAAGCATGACTGTTTTCCTTCCAGATGAAGTTCTTCATCCGTTCTCTACTTATATATATATATATATTCTCTTCTTTCTTTTTTTTCTTTTGATCTGTGTTGTTTTATTATTACTGTGTGGCGCATCCTTCTTGGTGCCATATTGTAACAAGTTTATATTCGTTTAAATAAAAATAATAACCTAGCTGACCATAAAGATGGAGTAATTTTCCTCGATAAGAAAAATCCCATTGCCAGTTCTCTTGTCTTCTCGTGTCACAGCTGTACACAATTCCATTCTCTTGATATATACACACACACATACATACATACACAAACACAACATAAGGCTTACCTTAACATGATCACCTTGACTAAAGAATTTTCTCAATTCAACTGGTGTAAAAGGTATTGGCTCGCGTAGGTCAGAATGATTCGGTTGAACAATTATCCTGTTATTGCCTTCAATAGAGACAACTTTACCACGCAGATTTTTTAGATCCCCTTCACACACCTCGACAACATCACCAGGCGTAAAACAATGATTTGAAGCTACTTCTGCAGTGACTGATGCATTTAAATTGGCTGCAGCGTTAGCAGCTGCTGCAGCTATTTGTAAACTATCCGGTGTATGATGAAATCGTTCAAGTTCAGCTAGAGTTGGTCGAATCCCTTCAGTAAACTAGAAAGCAAAAAAAAAAATGTCCAGGTAAGATAAAAAGTATAGTTTGCCATAAACTCACAGAGCTATTTAGTTCTGTGCATTTTAGTCAATCAAAGTGTGCAATTTAAAATCATGCTTAGAGCCATAAGATTTGAAATATGCCAAGTGCATCATCTCAGGTGGATTGATTTCACCGTCGAGTGAACCGAAGAAACATAAAAGTCCCCGCTGAGACATTCAGCTCATGACCAACTTTCCCTCTTTACCAGTCTTATTACTGGTGTAACAACAGAAGACAAGGGCCAGGCAACAGATCGTTTTATTATGAAAATCAACGCGTATTTATACATCTTTCAACTACATTATTATAGACAAGCGCAGTCATCTGATTGGTTGTTTAGGTAGACAAACGCAGGCTTCTGATTGGTTGTTTCGGGATTCCTTGACAAATAGAGTTCTCTCTGCGAATCATATTCTGCCACGTTAACTTTGCTGTGATTGGTTGTTGACTCAGGCTTGTTCATATTTTCTCACGGCCCATATTAGTGACCTAGACCTTAACGTAGATTAGTGCCAACCAATCGGCTAGCAGCCTGCTCTCACCACACTCGTCCCCCCGTCAAATACGTGCGACTGAAGTCGGCTTGATCTACTTGGTGCAGGCGTCATCGTTGGCTTGTCTCGCTGTATCCATTTCTGGAGCTCGCTGACGTTCACGCGCCTCTCATTGTTCGCCATTGCGACTGTGTCTGCGTAACCCCATCTCGAAGTGACCATATATGGTCCTTCCCACTCTGGAAACTGTTTGCCTGACCCTGTCGAACATTCGTCCATACTTCGGCCGACACCTTCATATGCTGCTTTCGCCCGACCTCCCAGCAGCGTCTCAAGTAGCAGCTCCATCGCTGGCAGATCTTGAACGCCACTCAACTGCGCAGAAGCCTTGAAGTCCTGCCCGAAGATCCATATGTCTCCATCAAAAACTGCAGGGTATAGGCTTTTCATTTGTCGGTAGGCAGCGACACCAAATGTAACAACAGAAGACAAGGGCCAGGCAACAGATCGTTTTATTATGAAAATCAACGCGTATTTATACATCTTTCAACTACATTATTATAGACAAGCGCAGTCATCTGATTGGTTGTTTAGGTAGACAAACGCAGGCTTCTGATTGGTTGTTTCGGGATTCCTTGACAAATAGAGTTCTCTCTGCGAATCATATTCTGCCACGTTAACTTTGCTGTGATTGGTTGTTGACTCAGGCTTGTTCATATTTTCTCACGGCCCATATTAGTGACCTAGACCTTAACGTAGATTAGTGCCAACCAATCGGCTAGCAGCCTGCTCTCACCACACTGGCTTAGCCGGGTAAAGGAGTGTGTCGGCCGGGGATCGATCCCGGAACCATATGGGGCGTGGATGAAGGGCGCTCAACCGCTGTACCAACGACGCACTAACACCTAATATACCAATGCACATTAGATTGACTCAGTGTCCTCTTTGTGCATTTGACTGGGGTGTTCTGTCTGTCTGTCTGTTTTCGACATAGAACTTTGCACAAATGTGCGGAAGTTCAAGTCGCCACATTCCGTGTAGCACGCGAAGCAAGAGAAGAAAGTACAAGAAAAGCATAATAGAAACAGTGAGCAGAGGTGTGAGACAAAGGAGTAATAAAGAATAACAAAACAGTTTCATTGAAGATCATAAGTCACAGGGAGTGGATGCATCTGCGCCACTGAGAACGATTTTGAGCCATGTCACCAATTGTTTCCAACCATAGATTTTTACCGTCCCGAGGACCCCAACCAGGAAGTCTACACCTTTCTACGTGGCTTAGACCAACTGTTGTGGATTTCATTGACTGGTGCCAAGTTTTTGTTTGACCGCCGCTAGCTTTTTTCCAGCCTGACCCTATATCCGCTAACATAGCTCGTCGAGGGAGGCGATGACTTGGCATACGTAACACATGTCCTAACCATCTCAGTCTTTGTAGCTTCACGACTTCGTCGATTGATTTCCCCTGTTTACCTAGAACTCTACGCCTAACCTCCATGTTGCTCACCTTATTATGCCACTTTACACGGGAAATAGAACGCAGGCACCTATGATCAAAGACAGCTAGTCTTTTCATGTCTTCCACTCTCAGTGGCCAGGTCTCACAACCATAAAGGAGGACGGAGCGGACTGATGAGCAGTACACCCGCCCTTTGGTCGATAGTCGAACATCTCGTCTACGCCAGAGTCGGCGTAAACTGGCAAATGCGAAACGAGCCCCCTGTATTCGTGCTGAGATTTCGTCAGAGATCAACCCGTTGACGGCTGATGGTACTTCCCAAATAAGTGAAGCGGTCAACGTGCTCTACCACTTCACTTCCTATTTTTAAACTAGGCGTCGATGTAGTCCAGTCCTGTAACATCATCTTGCATTTGGCGGGAGCGAATCGCATGCCAAACATTCGTAGATTGCGGCTCAAGGTGTTTAGAAGACTCTGCATTTCGTCAGCGTCTTCGCCTAGAAGGACTATATCGTCTGCATATTCCAAGTCAACGAGATTATTCCCCGGTAGCAAGTCAATCCCTGAGTCGCTGAAGTCACCTAGGGTTAAGTCCATTAACACATCTATGATGAAGTTGAATAGAAAAGGAGATAATGGGCATCCTTGACGGACACCACTGGTCGTCATCAGTTCAGATGACAGCTCGCCGTAAGCCCTCACCTGGCTGTATGAGTACGAGTAGAGTGCCTTAATCAGTGCAATATATTTTCTCGGAATTCCCTTTACAGCCAAGCATCTCCAGAGAACTTCTCGATCGACAGAGTCGAATGCTGCCTTTAGGTCAAGAAATATAATGACTGTTGGACGCCGGTAGGAATCCCTATGTTCTAGAATCTGTCGGAGGGTGAAGATATGATCAATACACCCTCTTCCTGGTCTAAAGCCTGCCTGGCTCTCTCGTGTTTGTGCTTCCCGAGCACCACTCAGTCTACGCATGATTATTGAGCCTAAGACTTTAGATACTATATTAGTCAAGCTAATCCCTCTGTGATTATCACAGGAAGACTTGTCTCCCTTCTTGTATATGGGGATAATCAGTGACTTACACCAACCCGATGGGACTTCTTCTGATTCCCAGACGCTGCCTAGTACCTCAGTTAATGCACACAGTAAGCTGTCTCCACCGTACTTAAATACCTCTGGAGTCATTCCATCAGGTCCCCCTGCTTTGCTTAGTTTCAGATTGGTGACAGCTTTAGTAACCTCAGTTAGGGATGTAGGACCTGTGTCTATATCCCATTCAGGGAGGTGTTGGATGTTCGGAAGGTTGAGCGTGGCTGTGGGTCAATTAAACTGCTCCTCATAATGCTCTTTCCAGCGATCCAGTCGTCTATCCTGGGAGCTAATTATAGTGTGGCGAGAGCAGGCTGTGAGAAAATATGAGCAAGGCTGATTCAACAACCAATCACAGCAAAGTTAACGTGGCAAAATATGATTCGCAGATAGAGAACTCTATTTGTCGAGGAATCCCGAAACAACCAATCAGAAGCCTGCGTTTGTCTGCCTAACTTCTGATAAACAACCAATCAGATGACTGCGCTTGTCTACTTGCATAAGCTATAATAATGTATGTGAAATATGTATAAATACGTGTTGATTTTCATAATGAAACGATCTGTTGCCTGGCCCTTGTCTTCTGTTGTTACAATAGTGCCATTTTTTTCCAAGATTGTTTCACTAATGATTTGTCTTCTCCCACCCGTTTCTCTGATGAGTCTAAATAGTTGCCTGATGTTGCCTATCCTCGAAGCTTTCTCCATCTCTTTCGCCTTTGTCACCCACCACTGTTCACGGTCCTCGCGGAGACTTTTCGTAAGTTTCCTTTTGTGCAACTTTAGCTCCTCATTGAATTCGGAGCTCGCCGGAATAAGTCTTCTAGCATCTATCAGTTCGGATGAGGCGGTAGAGATCCAGTGGTTTTTACTCACCTTTGGGTTTAACTTATTCACAGCTTTTACAGCTGTATCTATGGCTGCCTGGATATTCTTGCAAGCTTCTTCAGGGTGAGTGCAGCTGTCGAACACAGATATGTGTTTAGCTAGTTCTTCCTCAAATACGGATTCAGTTTCCTGATCGAGCTGGGGACGTGATGGTTTTACCGCCAGCTGTTTCCTACGTCCGTTCAGTCGTAAGCACACCCGAGCGCGGACCAGTGCATGGTCGGTATCTACACACGTGTTCCAGAAGGAGCGACAATCTCCTACCGACCCACGCCAACGATAGCTTATTGCTATGTGGTCTACTTAGGTCCAGCGTTGGTTTGATGAAGGGGGTCTCCAGGTCAAACAGTGTCTCTCCTTGTGTTTAAAGTTAGTGCTTACAAGAAACAAATGATTATCAGAACAGAACTGTAGGAGACGGTCACCGTTGTCGGTTCGCTGGCACGGAACTCCATAGGTGCCACCGACATCCTTTTCAGATTGACACAATTTCCCTACTTGAGCGTTAAAGTCACCAGCTAGAACGACTATGTCTGAGCGTTTAGCCTTTCGCAGCAAACTAGACAGCCTTCGGTAGAACTCATCCTTCGTTTCATCTGAACTGCAGTCAGTGGGGGCGTAGGCGGAGATTACGAAAAGGCATCGGCGAGAAGTCTGTCTGTCTGTCTGTCTGTTTTCGACATAGAACTTTGCACAAATGTGCGGAAGTTCAAGTCGCCACATTCCGTGTAGCACGCGAAGCAAGAGAAGAAAGTACAAGAAAAGCATAATAGAAACAGTGAGCAGAGGTGTGAGACAAAGGAGTAATAAAGAATAACAAAACAGTTTCATTGAAGATCATAAGTCACAGGGAGTGGATGCATCTGCGCCACTGAGAACGATTTTGAGCCATGTCACCAATTGTTTCCAACCATAGATTTTTGCCGTCCCGAGGACCCAACCAGTCAGGAAGTCTACACCTTCCTACGTGGCTAAGACCAACTGTTGTGGATTTCATTGACTGATGCCAAGTTTTTGTTTG